CTGTACACAAGATGGACAAATCCAACCTGGCTAATTGCTGCCCCTTTAATCTTCTCTTGATCATCAGTTAAGTGATGGAAGGTGTCATAAGAACTATCAAGCAGCACCGACGCACTGCAGAAATTCACCAAGACTCCTTATCTTCCAAACCCACAACTACTTCCATCTAGAAGGACAAGGCAGCAGATACAGGGGAACACCACCACCTGCAACTTCCCCTCCAAACCTTCACCATCTAGGCTTGGAAATGCATCATTCTTTCAGCGTTGCTGGGTGTTGTCATCTGCTTTAACTTCTCCCCTTTTCTGAATGTAACATTCACCAGTCCTCAGGTACCAGACCTGTATCCAGAGTCTCTGCCATTTCCATCCATACTTCCCTCAGCAACCAAGGCTGCATTCCTCCCTGAGCTTTCTACACTTGTCAGCCCTTTAAGTAGTTCCTGTACTTGCAGCTTCCTCTTTGAATGAAGGCAGATGCAAAGTCCTCATTTTGTACATTAGAATGCCCTTTGTCAACACAAAATTATTTCCAGAGATATACTGTATCCGCTGTTCCCGTTGTGGCCTCCTCTACATCGGGGAAACCAAGTGGAGGCTTGGGGACCACTTTGCAGAACACTTACGCTCGGTTCGCACCAAACAACTGCACCTCCCAGTCGCGAACCATTTCAACTCCCCCTCCCATTCCTCAGACGACATGTCCATCCTGGGCCTCCTGCAATGCCACAACAATGCCACCCAAAGGTTGCAGGAACAGAACCTCATATTCCGCTTAGGAACCCTGCAGCCCAATGGTATCAATGTGGACTTCACAAGCTTCAAAATCTCCCCTCCCTCTACCGCATCCCAAAACCAGCCCAGCTCGTCCCCGCCTCCCTAACCTGTCCTTCCTCCCACCTATCCCCTCCTCCCACCTCAAGCCCCACCCCCATCTCCTACCTACTAACCTCATCCTGTCCCCTTAACCTGTCCATCCTCCCTGGACTGACCTATCTCCTCCCTAACTCCCCAACTACACTCACCCTTACTGGCTCCATCCCCGCCTCTTTGACCTGTTTGTCTCCTCTCCACCTATCTTCTCCTCTATCCATCTTCTATCTGCCTCCCCCTCTTTCCCTATTTATTTCAGAACCCCCTTCCTCTCCCCCATTTCTGAAGAAGGGTCTAGGCCCGAAACGTCAGCCTTCCTGCTCCTCTGATGCTGCTTGGCCTGCTGAGTTCATCCAGCTCTACACCTTGCTATCTCAGAATTATTTCCAGTTCAGTTTTTAATAATCCCAACCTTTATTCAACCTTCTGTCTATTTATAGAAGAGTCAGTAGACCCACCCACTTATCCTTTCCTATTGAACACCCATTGCCATCTTTATTTCCTTCTGTTAGACAAAGAACAATTCAGCACAGGCCCTTCAGCCCTCCAAGACTGCACTGCCCCTCCATACTAAAACTATTCTCCTCAGTACTTGCTATATTCAGCTCGATTCCCTACTGCATTATGAACCTGACATTCATCATAAACTGTCTTTTTCTGTTGCACTGTGTTGAAGAATTGTGAGGAGTTGCCAATGTCCTGGTTAACATTAAGCCCTTAACCAACGACATTAAGCTGTTCGATAGTTGTGCAGTTCTGCACTACCTGGCTGCTATATTTGCCGACACACAACTTGAATAAACTTCAAAAGGAGGAATTTTGTGCTTGTGAAGCTCCCTAAGCATCATAAGGATTTGTTGTGAATTCCTCCAGCACCTCAGTTTTCTCCTGTCTTTGTTACCTGTACAATGCTGCAGGATCTGAGTTACTGTGAATCAGGCTTTCTGCGTATTCCCAAGTCCCTTCCCTGTAGGTCTTCTCCTCTGCAGCCTAGTCCCTAATCTCTGGAATCCCTTCCATAGGCCTCTGCACTCCACTCTACACGTTTACATGATTTCTGAAAACCTACTTCTTTGACCAAGCCTTTGACTACTCATGCTGGTGTTTGTTTTATGTGATCTGGTGTTAAATTTTAACTGATAACACTCAGTCGGAGCACTGCCTTGGGATGTTATCCTATAAGAGGCTGGAGAAAACAAGGTGTGACACAATGCTTACTAAATGTAAATTCTTCCTTCCTGCCACCTCATCCTCATCACTGAATGTAACAGGTTAGATTTTCAGAATCTTCAAATCCAAATCAAATCGTATTCAACTCCAACTTCTTATTTGAAGAAAAACTGAAAGAACTGCAGATGCTGTAAATCAGGAACAAAAACAGAAGTTGCTGGAAAAGCTCAGCAGGTCTGGCAGCACCTGTGAAGAAAAAAATCAGAGTTAACGCTTCAGGTCTAGTGATCCTTCCTCAGAACTGAGTTCTCGAAATGTTAACTCTGACTTTTCTTTACAAGATGTTGCCAGACCTGCTGAGCTTTTCCAGCAATTTCTGTTTTTGTTCCTGATTTACAGCATCCCCAGTTCTTTCAGTTCTTCTTCAAATAAGGAGTTGGAGTTGAATACGATTTGATTTGGATTTGAAGATTCTGAAAATCTAATCATTCTGACTTGGAAATACGGCACCATTCCTTCAGTTTCACTGGATCAAAATCCTGGAATTTCCTTCCAAATGGCACTGTGGGTCTACCTACAGCATATCGACTGTAGCAGTTCAAGAAGACAGCTCACCACCATCTACTCAACAGCAACTAGAGACAGGCAATAAATTCTAGCCTAGCCAATGACATCCAATCAATGAATTTTAAACTCTCAGCTGAAGTGGTTTCAGGAAATCAAAAGAGGTAAGCTGCAAAGGCTCTTGTAGTTCCGTGGATGGTCCCTACCTCTGAGCCAGAAGCTCTGGGTTCAAATCCTACCTACTGTTGCGGTCATAGAGTCACAGAGGTCTACAGCACAGAAAAGGCCATTCTGCCCATCGAGTCTGCACCCAGTCAAAAACGCAATAACATCTCTGAACAGGTCAATTGGGAATATATCTTGAGGAAGGCTGCAGTGAAGCACATTTTGAAATCTGATGGTGCAGAGAAGCATAAGGAGTCAAAGGACAGAGTGTGGAAACTGCCTGGGCATTTACCAGGTAAAGTGGAGAGATTGCACATGTATCTGAAATCAAGGACAAGGCCCAGAGCGCATTTATCAAGGACCTGATAAAAACATCAATAACAACTACAACTTTCATTTACGTTGCAACTTCAATGCACTGAAGGATCACTAGAAAGTTGCTTCACTAGAAAGTTAAAATTTGACACCAAACTTACAGAGTTATTTGGAAAACAGAAGTAAAGCTTGATCAAGGAGGTAGGTTTTAAGGAACATCACAAAGGAAGGCAGAAAGCCAGAGGATGATCTGCCCCACTCACAGGTGGTCTCCAAATTTTTATCCTTCATTCAAAACTCGGCCACGTCTTAACTCGCGCCAACTCTTGTTCCACTTTCACTCACTGACCCATCCTGGCTCTCGATCAAGTGGCATCTTAATTTTAAAAATTCTCACCCATGTATTCAAATCCCTGTATGGTCTCACTCGTCTCTATTTACCTCCAGCCCCACAACGTTCCAAGATCTCTGCACTTCTTTATGATCCCAAAAGATCAGGATGAATCATTCTGGTGGCCATGCCTCTAGCTGCCTAGGGCCAAGCTTTGGAAATGCCTTTCTAAACGCCTCCACCTCACTACCTCACTTTTCTCCATGAGGACATTCATTAAAACATACATTGCTGACCAAGCTTTTGACTATATGACCTAATATCTCCTTATGTAGTTTGGTGTCATAACATTTTTGTAACACGCCCATGAAGCTTTTTGGACATTTTATAATGTCAAAGGCAATATATAAATCAAAACTTTTGTTGTGATTAAGAGGATTAGGCAGGGAATCCGAGAGCTTAGCTTTAGGCAGCTGTTAGGCCAATGATGAAAATCAGACAAGAGGACAGAATTGCAGGAGTGCAGACATCTCAAAAGAATTAGGGCAGACGAGGCTACAGTGATAGGCGACTGAACCCTAGTGTCACATCATCAAGTAGACAGCCTAATGGTCTCATCTCTATCGACAGAGTTGCTGAAGTCAATTGCAGTGCCCCTTGGCTTCCCCTCTCCCAGCCAAACTCATCAAGGATTGCCAATCAACATTGAGCATTTGTATGAGCTGGTGTGGCCTTCACCCACTGTCTCATTAAGAAGTTCAAGATCCATTCTTTTGAGTGAGAGGTACATCCATTCTTCTGTGTTTGCTTGGATTTGTCAGGAGGAAAAATATCAGCTCCAAGGAGTGCAACCTTCACTGGATCTGTAATAAGTTATGCTTTCAGTATTCCATACAAGTTACCTGTTTTATGACCTGTCATCAAGTAATCGTCTTTACTCATTGCTCTTAAGCAACAGAACCCCCAATGCTGATTTGGTGCATTCCTGGATAACGCTTCAGAGCTATGCTGGGACATCTCCACTTGCCTGGAAGGGCAGAACTCCAACAGCACTCAAGAAGTTTAATGCCATACAGGGCAAAGCAGCCCATGTGATCAGCATTCCATCTGCCACTTTCAACATCTGCTCCCTCCACCACTGACACTCAGTAGCAGCAGTCTGTACCACCTGCAAAATGCATTGCAGTAAATCACTAGGACTCCTTAGCACCTTCCAAATCCACAACTACTATTATCTAGAAAGACAAAGGCAACAGATACATGGGAATACCAGCAAGTTCCACTCCAACACTCGGAAATATATCGCTTGACATGGAAATATATCGCTATTTCTCCAATATAACTGGGTCAAAATCTTGGAATTCCCTCCCTAACAGCATTGCGGGTCTACCTACAGCAGTTCAAGAAGGTAGCTCACCACCACCTTCTCAGGGAAAACGAGAGACAGGCAATAAATGCTGTCCAGCCAGTAAACATCGACCTCCCATGACCGACCATAAAAAAAATCCGACATTACCCATGAAGGCAGGATTCTCTTCATGCAACTGCTATCAAAATGCTGTTAATTACAGGTCAGGCATTACCTTTTCCCCATTGGGATTTCCCAGGATATAGCAGCCCATTATATGGATCACATTTGGGTCTGGGTTGATCTTGCTCATCAATCTGCTCAGCCTCCTCCAAAACCTGCAAATGATGCAAAGGCAGAACGATTAGCAGCCATTTCTGGCACTGATGGTGAAATTGGAATCACAAGTTTCTGAGAGTGGCAGGTGAGTGGTAGGAGGAGAACAACAGGTGGTTCCTCCTTCACTCCTGAGCTAGGGAGGAAAGAAAGCCTCTGGACATATACCTCCCAATCTCAGCAGCCTCCTATCACCAATGAAGAAATGCGTTCCTCAATTGTGGAAAACTGTATATCTACCAGCTTGACAGCTATTTCCACATCCCTGTTCCCTGCAGGCTAAGTTACAACCTCTGGAACCACTTTTGGAAAACAAGCTTCTAAATGCGCTGCTTGGTGACAGGTGTCAATCTTCATCATAGATTGAATAAGGAACACTCTGGCATTTATGTAGTTCCTTTCACATTCAAAGCACAATGGCTGGTTAATGTTAGTCACAGGTACAATAATGATATAGAAGCAGCACAGCAGAGTCCATAGCTTCAGATAATGGTACTGCAGCTGTAAATGTGGTCGACTGCAAATAGGTGTCCATTGGTGAGAAGATCAGTCATTTGAGGGCACACATTTAAGATAATCAGCAAAATGAAAAGTTGAGATAAGAATTTAAACACAGTGATCTGAAATGTTCAGTCAGAATGGGTGACGGAAATAGCTACTACAGGAACTTAGCAATTTGAACTGAAAACAAGAAAATGCTGGAAATCACAGTGGGTCAGGCAGCATCCGTGGAGAGAGCGCAAGATAACGTTTCGAATCTGGATGACTCCTCATCAGAGCTAGTCATCAAAACGTTACCTTCCTCTCTCTCCACAAATGCTGCCTGACCCACTGTGGTTTGTTGCATTTTTTTGTTTTCAGTGCAGATTCCAGCTTCTGCAATAATTTGTTCCTACATTAGGTATAGAGGAAAGAGGAGCAGGAGTGGGCTATTCACCGCAACCGACTCTCTCTGCCAACCCATTAGATCCTGGCTGATTGTCAATCTGAAAATCATTTTCTTGCACTCTTCCTTGACATCATTAATAATTAAAAACCTATGGTGTGCTGTCTCGAATATATTCAAGCCTAGACAGCCCCCTGAGAGAGGACTGCAAAGATTCACTAACAAACACAAAGTTGCTGGAGAAGCTCAGCAGGTCTGGCAGCATCTGTGAAGGAGAAAACAGAGTTAACATTTCGGGTCTGGTGACTCTTCCTCCGTTCTGAGGAAGGGTCACCGGACCCGAAACGTTAACTCTGTTTTTCCCTTCACAGATGCTGCCAAATCTGCTGAGCTTCTCCAGCAACTTTGTGTTTGTTCCTTATTTACAGCATTCGCAGTTCTTTTGGTTTTTATTTTGCAAAGATTCACTGCCTTCTTAGAATAAAGAAGCCTTTGAGAAAGGTCAGGATAAGGAAACATTTGTGGGACCATTGGGAAAGAGGAAGCAGGACAAATTAGATAATTCTTTCAAAATGCTGACATAAACACAATGGGCAAAAGGGCTTTCTTTTGTGCTGCTGTGTTCTATGGTGTGTGCTATCAAACCAGATAGACATCACTCCCTGCAGTATCCTGCCAGTGCTTTGATTCACAGTCAAGATGGTAAGCGTTGGCAGGACATGCCAATCAGAAGCACATTGTGGTTTTGTGCCATCACTTGGCTACCAGCCAGGATTACTGGCTTGGATCGTTCTCTTTCCAGGTTTCACTGCACTGTTATTAATTGGAGTATCCTTACCAGTCTCCCATATACAATCAGCTGACTCCATGCGAGCCAAAGATTTGACTTGCTGCTTTGCAAGACTCAGTTTTATCATGAGTCCTTGTAGTGATGGTAACAAGGTCAGCCAGGTGAACCTCAGAATATGAGTTCCCTGATTGGGGCTGTTAATGCGGTCCAATCAGGGAGCCCTGGCTAACAGGAGTGTCAGAGGTTCTGCTCACTCTGACAGCTGGCTCTGAGGTCAGGGTCAAGGACTGTGTATGTGTAAATAAATGGTGACTTGGTGCCAAGATACCAGACTCTATGGAGTTATTTCAGCTGTAAATTTGCTAAGGAATTACTCAAGGAGATCTTGTGTTTTGAATCCCGTAAACACAGAAAGGAGGTTCATTGACAAAAACTGATGCTCTGACCGTGCATGATTTTCCCAATATCTGCCTGCCATCCATTGCAGTCTAGACATCAATGCAGTGTCCTTTAGTCGACTGGTGTGTGTTGTGCGTCTGCCCTTTTGAAGAGCAGCAATTCTTGGTTCTGTCAATCGTCACATCTTCTAAGTGCAGGCCAACAGAGTTTTTATACTCTGTTCACTTGAGTTGCTCAATACACCACAAATTAGGAGGAGATTTGAGCTGTTACAAATTTGGGCTGTGTCCCGAGGGAGCACCATGCCCTATCCTGACGGTCACTGAGCTGGCACTGATGCAGCAAGCAAAGTTAAATGGCAAATTGAGAGTAGCACACCAGAGTGGGATTGGTGAGCGGGTGACATTAATCAGAGAGCTGATCCCAATATGCTAATTAATTCATTCACTAAAGTGATGCATTTTGGCAGGATACGGAGAGCCAACACAAACTTTTAACAGCATGGTTCTAAAGACAGACCTGGGGATGCAAGCACACTGAATTGTAAAGGTGCCAGGATATACTGAGAGAGTGGTCACTACAACTTAGTAAGCATCTGAAGATCCTTGAGTGAGGCAATGGTAGGGGGCACGGTACAGAAGTGGAGACTTAATAGGTTCTGGGAATGAGGAATTTTCAGAGATTGAGGGACTTTTGGTAAGAGTGCATAAGATTATGACAGATTTAGATAAGGCAGGCACATAAGAACTACTGTTAGATTAGGGGACACAGATTTAAGGTCTTGGGTGAGAGATGCATTGGGGGTATGAGAAAGAACTTTTTTTACACAATGAATGGTACAGTGAACTCATTGCCCACAAGGGTGGGGGAGCAGAAGCAAAGATTTATAAAAGGCAATGGATGGGACAGACTGGATTGCTCTGAGGGGAGCCAATATAATCGATTGGCCAACAAGGCCTTCTTCTACATAGTAAATGATTCTGTAAACAACACTGCAGGGAACTCAGGACTTGCAGAGACAATTAGGAGAGCACAGGAATAGGTCCTTTGGCCCACCATGCCTTTGGCATGCCACTTGCGTATGTGATCAGCTTACAAGATCATGTCTTCCTCTTTCTCCACTTTGGCAAAGGTGGCGACTTTGTTCTTCAGCAAGTACAAGTGGCCAGGTCCCCCCTGCAAACAAAACATAGGATCCATGAAGAAAGCAGAGACATGGTTATATAACATGAACATCTCCCTGTCAATACTGATCCAACAAATTGTGTCAAAAAGGCAATTTGCCGATATGCATTTAACTGGAAATCTGACAATGCCCAATTGTGGGAGCTCCTGGTTTTCAGGTCGTGAGGAGGAGTTGCTTTCATGGGGTATGATGGACATTGTGCTAACTCTGAGATCCAAGACACCACTTATACTGGGACCTCTAGGGGTTATAGACCGTTGCTGAAGGTTGAAGGTGGGTGAGACAATAAGAGTCAGGTGTCAGAAGTCCGGGCTGCAGATCCCAACCCAGGCAGGTAAGAACACTCCGTGGATGTTCTGGGCGGATGCGTTTTAGCATTCAGCAAACAACCTCGTAGCATTGCAACTGCCAAAAGTGCTATGATAGCATTAAATATGGAGTGACTCAACACACGCATGTCCTCAGTTCAATGCATTCACGATACAGAACAGAATTGTGGTTAATGGAACATCATTAAATTGAGGGAACAAAGGAAGCAGGAACAGCACTGAGCTCACGCTCATCTCATCAACAACTGAAGGGTCTTGACTGGTGCCATGCCCAGTGCACCCCTCAGATCTGATCCATTTGTTGTAAGGTGACAGCCCAATTAGTGGTCCAGCGAACAACGGGCAGAGTCAGCAAATGCTGGTGAGCTATCACTGTTAGACTGACCTGGCAGAAGATCAGCAGCTTCCAGATCTTGCACCCCTTCCGATAGGCATTCAGCTTTTTCTCAATCTCTTCTGCGGGGGACACAGACTAGTCAGTTCTCATTCCATTCATGTTGTCAAAGGGCAATAACATCTCAACATGACTGCACAGTCCATTTTCAATACCCCAGCGTTACAGCTAAGACTGCATCACTATGATACGAAAGAACCTCGCTGAATTGATGACTATCCTCTACAACAGAATGAGGACATTTTACAGCCATTATTTAATCTGGAGTATGGCCAACAACCAGCTCAGTAGAGCACTATTTGCAGAAAATATACATCACTGCAACAACCTCAAAAACTGCTGCAAAAAGACTGAAGTCTAGAGGTCAAGTCATATGGATTAGCATCATAACTTCTACATTTGGTGTAGATGAGAAGGTGGTCTGACTAAAATGTTCAAGAAAATTAAAAACAAAAAAAAAAGTCGCTGGAAAACCTCAGCAGGTCTGGCAGCATCTGTGAAGAAAAAATCAGAGTTAAAGTTTCAGGTCCAGTGACCCTTCCTCAGAACTGGACAATTAAAAAGTTTGATAGGTTGAAAAAAGAGGAATTACTTTTTTAGGTGCAAAATCAAAGCAAGGAAACCCAAAGTGTTGAGAAGATCTGAAACTCTCACCCCTACAATGCTGTTGGTGTTTGGAATCAATTGACCCCAAATTGAAAACTGGGACTGATGGATTTTTCTTTGCTCAACACATTACGGGTTGGAGAATCAATTATGTTAGATAGATTTAAGATGCAGATGAGTCAAGACTAATTGAAAGAACATCAGGCTTGAAGGACTGAATGATGGACCTGACCGTATATTCCTCACTGAGCGTGCTCCCCAATAGCCAGTGTTCCGCTTTTTCTTCAATGAGCCAATTTTTGTGGGTTGCAATACATAGATAATAGTAACAGAATTTGGCACTTTGGCCCCTCTAGCCTGCTGTTCCATTCAATATGTTCAGGGCTGAAGTTGTACGTTAACTCTACTGATCCACATGTCCCTATATTTCTATTAGGGCCCAAAACCTACCGATTTGAGTCTTAAATATACTCAACAACTGACCATCAATTGACCCTCAACTTCTGAATGAGGGCATTTCTCCTCATTTTAGTCTTAAATAGCTGACTCTTTATTCTGAAACAACGGCCTTGAATTACAAACTTTGCAGCCCAGGGAAAGCATCCTCTCACATCAATGCTGCCAAACTTGCTCAGAATTTAATACGTTTCAATAAGATCAGCTCCCAAGAATATAGCCCAGTCAACTCAATCTCTCCTCACAGGGTGGCCCTCTCATCTCCGATGTCATTCATCTCCAGGAGACAGCCCCTGGCATATCCCTCAACATTGCGCATCCTCAAGAGAAGCCCTCAAAAAACAAAAACATAAAAATTGGCACCCTGCACAAGATGGAAGATGGATTACATTTGTAATGCTGGTTGAGGAATAGGTACTGACCGGGGCACTTGGGAGATCTCCCAAGCACCTTTTCAAACTAAATACCTTGGAATCGTTTACGTACACCTGAGAGGATAGACAATAAGCTTGGTTTGATTTGATACCTCATCTGAAAGACAACACCTCTGACACTGCAGGATTCCCTCAGTCCTGTAGTAGAGTGTCAGCCTAAATGTTGTGCTCAATTCACTTGAGGGGAGTTGAACCCTTTGGGCTCAGAGGTGAGAGCACTACCACTGAACCATGTTGCATGATTCAGTCTGGTCACTGCTCAGAGGGCAATACGTTATTAAACGTATTTTCTATCAGATTACTTATGGATCGACAATTTAGGGCAAGATGAGACTCCAGAACACTGCTTTTTCAGTGCTTTTATCACCACCATGTGGGAGCAACAGTCAAACCCAATGAAATCTACTCACCCAAGATGTCATCAAAAGCAGCATGCTCATGGTCCTGTCGGAGAAACGAGAGCTCTTGTTAAAGTTTATTACCTTTGAGTGAACCCTGCTCACTTCATTTCTTCATTTAGGTTTTTTTACATTTTTCTGCAGATATGGCCAAACAGGGATAGGTGCCATTTTAAAGCTCTGAACTCTCTAATTTCTGAATCCTACCACTATGAAAAGCAAACGAAGAAAAAAGTGCCCTGGAGGATAAATGTGTGACCAGTTCAGGATTATCCTTTCACCTGTGAAATTATGGCTGAAACCCAGCGCTGTCCAATACAATTCTGCAAGATCCCCATTGAAGTGTACTAGACAATCTCAATTCAGTTTCTAATACTGGGCAGCAATGTCAGTTTGTACTTGGGATGTGGGCAGTATTTAATGCCGATTTCACCTTACCTTGAGGGTATTAACAGTCAACAATGCAGTTGTATGACAAAAGCAACATGTAAACTAAACCCTATACCTTACCAATCAGGAAACTGTATTCAGAGACCACAAAGGTAGCTGGCAGGGAAAATGTAAAGTCACACTAAGGAGTACTAGCACCAAGGCACATAGCTGTGACTAAAATGAGCTCTACTCATTGAGATATCTCCTCCTCACATGGGAAACCCTGAAGCCAATGCTGAACTTGCAACTAAGGGGTGTCAGTCCCCAGTTCTCTTATTATTGGCAACCGCACAAAATTCAGAGAAATATCAGAGGCTCATCCAACGCAGAAAACCCATGGTACCCATGCCAGCTCTTGAAGGAACAATGCTATTCGTTCTACCCTCTCCTTCATTTTCCCCATATCCCTGTCATTTTACGAATACATGTTTGGACAAGCAGTGTCAGGATGATCATCGCAGTCACAGTAATACTTCCCTGAGTTTCCACACCATGGTGCCTAGAGTGAGGTCTGGTTTCTCCTCAAGGTAGGGATTGATCAGAAGGTCGGTCAAAATAACCATTGAAATAAAAACAGAAAGTGCAGGTATGCAGTAACATGTAAATCAACATAACAGAACCAGCTGAGCACCCTGGGTGGGAATACTCAATTCTCTTTAAACCGTGGAATATACAGTCTGAAGGGATGGTTGAAAATGAGTCAATCATAATTTTCAAAAGGAATAGCATGAAGGAAAAAATTGCAGGGCTCTTTCAAAGAGCCTTTTCTCTTACCCTTCTCCAGGACTTTCATATCTTAATAACAAAAATGAAAATTTTTTTCAATGATGTTACTCCTGGGTGATGTTCATAGTTGGATTTCAGAGATTTGGCATTAATTCCATACGCCACAAGACAATCCTAGGTTGACAACCCTTCTTGATTGTAACATGTGATTCTCCCAACTTTAAAGGGGCTAAAAAAAGCCAATACCCAAAACTGGTGATACTCACGTAGAGGATGGGGATGACTGAGGGGTCATTCCTGCGGACAATGGTCGGGATGTACTCTGCCTTGGGGACTTTGGATGAAATGAGCTGTGAATGAAGCAACACAATTATCTGAATCAATGGTTACCATGTGAGGGGGCTTAGTTGGAATGGTTTTACCACTTACTGTGTGAGAGAATGACAAGCAAGTTTAAACATGCAAACCGCGCTCTGATGCGCACTTTACATTATGAAACAGCATGGTTAATTAACATAGAATAAAGAAAATACAAGTTTCATCACGTAGTTGTAATCCCACAATTAATATTATCCCACATCAGTATTTTTTTGCAAATTGGACTATTCTGGAAAAAAAAACAATCAAAACAACAACTCCAGGATGTGAATGTATACTGCTTTGCAGGGATCAATTCTAATCAGTCGATTTTACAATTTTTAGTCACAATTTTAAACGATGTTTTTGAACAATGGTGTCACGTGACTGGGCTGACTGCATGGATTTCCAGTAATCTCATTGTTTGCTTCTGATGGACCACACTAGAGGTCTGATGGGCCAGGCTCTGAAGCAATGTCTGGAAAGATAGGTGAAGTGGAAGGAAGGGGTTCCATATGTACCAATGGTAGCCCAACTCTGTTACAGCCACTGCCAAACCTACTCCTAGTACTGTCCCTAACTCTTCAGGCAGCCCAGATTAAGCCAGTGCAACTCTAAACTGCATAGGTGCAACAACAATTTGAATTTGTACAGCATCTTAGCATAGTAACACATCCCAAGGCATTGAACTGATGTGCTCTTGGACACAATTTAACATCGAGTCACATGACAATCTGTTAGGTGACTGGGAACTCGATCAAAGAAGTAGGTTCTGAGGAATATCTTAAAGGACGACTGAGAAACAGGCAGACGATTTAGGGAGTGAATCTAGAGTGAATTTAGAGCTTGTGTCCCAGGGAGCTAAAATCAAAACAGGGCAAGAAGCCAGTGTGCAGGAATACAGATATTGCAGAAGGTTGAGAGATTTGGTGGAGATGGCGAATCTAGGGAGGGATGAGGCCATGGAGGAGGTAGGACAAAAAGAAGGAGAATTTTAAATTTAAAGTATTGCTAGACCGAGAGCCAATGTAGGTTAGCAATCACAGATGTGATGGATGAAGAAAATCTGTAGTAGTTATTCAATATATAGGACACTTATTCCTCTGGGCCTCTAACTGGCTTGCTGCTAGAAAACAGGAGTGCGAATGCAAAGCAATTAACTTGGCTGGCCTGGTGACATCAAAAAGCTTTTGGTTGAAAGATTTGGACTTTGAAAAAATCTTACCATGATCTTGGGTGGGACAAAGTCTTCGCCATCACATGACAGCAGCTCCAGCTCCTTCTCCGCCTCCCAGTTGAGATCGTCAAAATCATCATCTAAAGCACAGCACGAGTTCTGCAACTCCTGACCTGGTGTGATACAAAAAGGAGATCCAACAGGGGTTACCATGGAGACAGGGGCTTGATTATGGCTATGTGGGCTTTTTGAATAAATGTTCATAAAGAAATACTGTCGGGTCTGGGCTCAAAAGGTGCCCCATCTGTCACTCAGATGTTATATGTCTTCGTTGTGCAAGGCAGCGAGTGTCCCTCATGTGAAGATGAGATTACAGTCACTCCTGGGAATGGGCAGAGCAGGGCCAGAGAAATAAATGCAGAGACTAACAACCAGCTATAGGAAATACTGGATCACTTCAGAGAAGAGCTATCAGAAACACACAAAAAAACATACTCTTTCACACCATGGCTGAAGCTTGGATCAACATTCCTAGTTATAGGGTATTCACAGAATAGGTAGAAAGGGACCTAGAAGAGTAGGTGAGGTCACAATATGGGTCAAAGAATCGTTTATAGCAACGAGGAGACATACTATCTTGAAAAGATCATCAAATGAGACTAGATGGGGGAAAGCAAAAAAACACAAAACAGGCACACAGTTGGATCCTAATTATATGCCGCCAAACAGTCAGACAGAGATAGAGGGTTAAATATGTAATCAAATTTCAGAGAATAGTAAGAATAATAAGGATGTAATTGTAGGAGATTTTAACCACCCAAATATAAACTGAGATTGCTTTAGCAAGGTAAGGGAGAGCAAAATTCTTAAATTGAATCCAGGAGAATACTTTCAGGCAATGCGCAGAATACCCAAGAAAGGAGTTCCCAGTTCTAGACCTAATATTCATAAATGAGCCTGGTGATAGGAGTATCAGTAGGGGAACATTTTGGAGATAGTGACCATAATTTAATTTAAGTTAGGATCATTATGGAAAAAGATAAGGATGCATCAAGAATAAAAGTTCTAAACTGGGGAAAGGCTAATTTTACTAAGGTAAGATAGGATTTGGCCTTGAGAGAAGGCACTAGTCAGTTTAGCAGTTTTGAAAGTGGATAAATATGCAGGCCGGATGCGATGTATCCCAAGTTTTTGAGGGAGGAGATAACAGGGGTCCTGGCAGTAATTTTCAAATAATCTCTGGCCGCAGGTTAAATGCCAGAGGACTGAAGGACTGTTAATATTATCCCACTATTAAAAAAGGGAGGAAAGGATAGACCAGGAAATGAAAGGCCAGTTAGTCTAACCTCAGTGGTGGGACAGAATACATCTGCACTTAGAATGACCTGGATTAATCAGGGATAATCACCATGGATGCCTTTAGGGAAGGCAGAATTTGACAAATTTGATTTTTAAATTTATTTAGGAGGTAGCCAGGAGTGTTGATGAGGGTAATGCATTTGATGTGGTCTACATGGACTTTAGCATGGCTTTTCATATTAGAATTGCCATTCTCTGGTGCCATTCTGGTTACAAAACCAGAATTAAAATTATAAACAATTTAAAAAAAAAGCCAAAAGGTAAGAAAACATCCAGATCTTAAGGTCTAAAGGTGCCTCATGCCAGAATGGTCAAGAAAGTAAGAGTCCATGGGATCCAAAGCAAAATGGCACATTTGATCCAAAATTGGCCCAGAGGCAGGAAGCAGAGGGTAGTGGTGGGGGAGTGTTTCTGTGACTGGAAGTCTGTTTCAGGCAGGTTCTGTATGGCTCAGTGCTGGGCCTTTGCTATTTGTGGGCTATGTTAATGATCCGGACTTAAATGTAGGGGATATGATCAAAAAGTTCTTGGATGACATGAAAATTAGTAGGGCCTGGTAAATAGTGAAGAGGATAGCCATAAACTGCAGGAGGGCATCAAAGGGCTGGTAAGGCAGGAAGAGCAATGGCAAATGGAAGTCATTCCTTAAAAGTCCGAGATAATGCACTTGGAGAGGTCTAACAAGGAAGGGGATTGCACTATGAATGGTAAGACCCTGGAAATTACTGAAGATCAGAGGGACCTTAGTGTGCATATCCATAGATTTCTGAAGGCAGCAGGACAGGTAGAGAGGGTGGTTAAGAAGTCATTTGGAAAACTTAACTTTATAAGCCGAGACATAAAATACAAGAGTAGGGAGGTTATGCTGGAACTTCATAAAACAATACTTGGGCCACAAATTGTGTACTGTGTACAGTTCTGATCACCACATTGTAGGAAGAATGTGACTACACTAGACAGGATGCAGAGGAGATTTACCAGGATTGGAGAGTCTGAGCTATGAGGAAAGATTGGCGGGGGTGGTGATTTTTTCTTTGGAGCTGCGAATGTTGAGAGGGATCTTAATAGAACTGTATCAGACTATGAGAAGCATAGACAGGTTGGATAAGAAAGCACTTTTTTCCACTAGTAAAGAATGGGCCGAATTGATTCTTTCTGTGCTGTAAACATCTATAAGCCTATAAATATATAACACAACAGCCTCCCCATTAAGTTATTGAAAACAAGTGATGATTCCACACCCTACTATAAAACAAGGATAAACTCAAGACCCCAAATTTGGAACATAATTAAATAAATTGGGATTGAACTCAATTTTGGTCCAATTTGATGGCCTAGTTCAGTTGTTTCATAATGAACCTGGTCTAGTTATGTCTTACTCTCCATGTTCCACATTAGCTGTTAATACATGATTAACTCAGCATCCTTCCTAGCCACCTCTACTGATCTTAGTTTAATATTTTTCTTCTATTTTTCTGTTGAAGTACGTCTGTGGAAATATAGAACATTTTCTGGTTGTGGCATCATCAGTCACTCACAGATCACATTAATGACAGGATAGGTTTCATTTGCATTGTCTTAACATACTTTCAGGTTATAAACAACTTCAGCTAAATATAGTGCAAGTTTCTTGTATACTGTCACATCACTCACTCCAAAGTCAACTGCAAGAGGAATTGGACATAGGGCAGGTTCATTTACAGTCCCTGCATAAGCTTGACTTATGTAGGTTTCAGTTACACTGTCCCAAACAAGCACTCACAGCCAGACATAACTTGGACTAAATTTCTTTTTATGCCTGAGATCTCTCCCAGGAGCTCTGAACCTAATTTCTCCTGAATGCACTTCCCTGTTTTTTTTTTATTCACTCATGGGACATTTATTGCCTGTCCATGGCTGCCTTTGAACTGAGTGGCTTGCTAGGTCATTTCAGAGGGCCGTTGAGAGTCACATGTAGGCCAGACCACGAGGATGGCAGGTTTCCTTCCCTGAACAACATTACTGAGCCAAACGAGTTTTTCTGACAATCAGTAATGGTTTCACAGTCATCAGTAGACACTTAATTCCAGATTTTGCTTCTTGAATTTAAATTCCAGCATCTGCTGTGTCTGATTCAAACCCAGCTCCTCGGAACATTAGCTGAGTTTCTGAATTAATAATCTAGTGATAATACCACTAGGCCATCACCTCAGGAACAGTTTCTTTCTGGCCATTATCAGACTGTTGAATGGATTCTAGCCTCAAATAATGTAACCTACAATGTAACCTGTATGCCTCTTAAGTCTTTTTGATCTGAACATCCTTTGCTTGTTTTGATCTGCCTGTACGGCTCGTAAACAAAGCTATTCAATGTATTTCAGTACATGTGACAATAAAATAAATTAATCAATCAATAGTGATTCCCCTAAACAGCACTTTGGTTGCAGTTAGGAATACTCTGCCTGAGCTATGGTCCTGAGACAATAAGCTGTAGAGCTGGATGAACACAGCAGGCCAAGCAGCATCAGAGGAGCAGGAAAGCTGACATTTCGGGTCCTGCCACAATGCCATAAAACATACCAACAGATTTTTACACAGTACGGTCCCACAAGCAACCAATTAAATGAACAATCAAAGTTTTGGTGAGACTGTTCAATGGAGTAATGTTGGCTAAACCACAGGTGGTTTTAAAAAGCACTCCAGAGAGTTTTACACCCACATACACAGGCAGACAGCTGGGTCGTCAAATTAAGTCTCATCTGAAAGACAGCATCAATAACAATGCAGCATGCCTACAATGCTGGCAGACTGAAATGTGTGCTCAAGTCTCAAGACTATGAGACATTGGAGTTGAAGTAGGCCATTCTGCCCATTGAGCCTGCTCTGCTATTTAATGATTGGACTGATAATCTTCAACTCCACTTTCCTGCTTTACCTCCATTTTCATTGGTTCCCTTACTGATTAAAAATCAGTCCATTTATCTCAGGATTGAACGTGGCACATGACCCAGCCCTGACAGTGCTTTGCAGCAAAGAATCTCAAGTAAGGTTTGAACTTATGATCTTCAAAGTGAAAAGTTAAACAATTAATGTGTAAAGTAATAGATGAACTTACTTTCTCGCGGTTCACCAATCACATCAGACTTCACCGGCGTAGGGTCACTCCAGGAGCGACCAAAACTCTTCTCTTGTCGCTCAGAAAGACCTAGAAATAAAACAGAAAGAAAATATTTGCACTCACATCCAGTTTAAGCAAAATGGAATAATTTCAGGTTTACACACAAAGGAGTAGCTCCATAAAGTCAGTGTGATTTTACAAGCTGTAGGTCTAATAGATGATGATGTTCTGGTAAGAGAAAGCATAGAAGTATTACATGATGTACTGAGAAAAGTTTTTGACACATACTTGAAACACCAAAGCAATTTAGTTATGGAACGGGTGAGGTTTAATCAGCAATTTCAACATTTGGGCGAACCAATAGAACATTTTCAATTAATTTATACTGTCTGAAGGATGTTGTGGGTACGTAGCTTTGAAGGATGAATTAATTAGAAAATGTATAGTAGTGGAAAAAAAACACAGTAAAGGTAGTTTTTAAAAAGTCAGTGTGTAGGTTGAGAGGTTGTTAGACTTTGTTCAATCCGAGGAGGTATTAACAGCGGAATCCTACACACTATGCAGGCAGAAATCAGGGCCCAGGATCTTTCAGTACTATGAGGAAACATCAGAGTCGGATGGGCAGTGCACAAACTGGTTTTGTCATCCTCTTGAAATCCTGATAAAATGTGAAAAAAAAAAGAGAATTGACATCATCAATGAATTATTTACAAGGTGTGCCTGAAAACAAAATTTCAAGTGCGATAACTGTCTAGCACTGGGGCAGAGTGCTATATAAGTTTGGCCAGTTGGGACATTTTAGAGAATACTGTAAGTTGACAGTACCTTCATCACTTCAAAATAAGGAAAATATTTTGCAAAAGGAAATTTTTCCAGAGAAATAAAAATAATATAACAAAGAAAAAGTTCACCAAGTTAAAGAACAGAACAAAAGGGTGAAAACAACATTCTGTGGTGAGGTCAGAAAAAGTCAAACAGACTCTGCATCATCATGTTGAAGGAAAAAGGGAACAGAATGTAAACTCCACACAGGAGCAGCAGTTTCGATACTGGTAGATAGTTTACCATAGTTGAAGACTATGAGAGTTAGATCAGCAAACATAAAATTCCAAGGCCATGGTACAGATTTTCAGGTAGGCAAATCACCGCAAAGTTTAGGCAGAGATGACAGAATATCAGTGAACCACCATATATACTGAGGAATGAGAATACCTCATTGTTCAGCAGAAACACATGTTTGCATCTAGACCTCTGAGAGAGTGGATACAATACTTTAGAATTAAAACAAAACAAAATATCAGTAAGAATTTCCCTAGCTGTTCAAATGTTTAGGCAAATTGAGCAGGAGTATCATACTACTCTGCAAGAAGATGCTAAGCCCATTGCTTGTATGTGCCCAGGAAAATTCCTCAACCTCTGATGGGAAAAGTAAAATCTCAATTAGACAACACGATTGAAAATGGGTCATATCAGGATCAAAGTGATAGAACTGACACAAAGGTGTTCATGGGTAGTTAACTGTTCCCAAGACAAATGGAGAAATAAGATTGGGTGTGGATCTCACTCATATAATCAAAGAAGTAAGAAGGCAAATCCATTCTATTCCATCTGTTGATGTTAGTTTGACAAAATTGGCAACAAGTAGGTTTTCCACAAAATTGGGTGCAACATCAGGTTTTGGCAGATACCGTCAGACCAAGAGTCTTGATTGCTGACTGCATTGATTACACTAATCAGGAAATATTGTTTCAACTATTTACCATTTGGAATCTCCACTGTGCCAGAGATTTTCCAAAGAGGAAAGTCTTGAATCCTGGAGGGAAACAGGGAACCATTATGCATATGGACGACATCCACTACATCCTAAAATGAAGGAGGAGCATGACCAGAGGGTCAGGGAAGCATTAAAGTCACTACAGAACACTGATCTTATACTGAAGGAGAAATATAAATTCTTCACAGCAGCAATTACAGATCCAAGGAAAACAATAGCCATTGGTGAGTTTCCAGTATCAAAGTGTGCAAATGACTTCCCATGAATCAAAGATGTAGAGAATCAAGTGGGAATATTCAGTTAGTCTTTTGATAAATGTCTAACAATAGTATTGGAGTCAGGAGCAGACCACAACCTTTGAAAAGATCAAAGAGAATTTACTTTTTAATGATGTAGTACATTACAACCCAGACTTATTCACTGTCCTTATTCAAGAGTAAACTGACAGAAAGTGATAACTGGTTTGTTTTATGTTGAGAGCTTTGATGGAGAGTGAATACAAGCCAGCTACCACAGAGAAGGAAGTGTGAGTTGTTACATGGGGATGTGAAAGGTTTGCAGACTACCTCTTGGGACTCAAATTCCAGATTGAGATGGACCTCAAGCCTTTATTAACAATATTGGGAGCAGAACACATCAAATTGCCTCTACATTCAAAGGCTTAAGCTGATGACATATGACTATAATACATAACTATGTTCCAGACAGGTGCAAGTATCAGCAGATTCATTCTCAAGTGCTGCAGTGGATCAAGCAGACAAAAAAAGGACCTTACTTTTGTGGAAGATGTAGGCTCTTATTCTACACAATGTCAAACAACTGAAGATAAAGTCAGACAAATCCCTGCACAAGGCATACACGAGGTCCAGACAACTCTGTGCGCACCTACCAGATAAAGTGCTGAAAAGATACCATGATCAAAAACAACACTTGACAATGGTGAAAGATCTATTGGTGTATGACCGAAGAATAGTTAAACCAAAGTTGATGTGAAAAGAAATCTTGCAGAAGCTCCACAGGAATAATCTAGGCATCACAAAGTGCACAGAAGGAGCACAAGTCTCCGTGTGGGGCCAGATATTTCATTAGATCCACACAGCATTGCATTTTAGAAGCAAATTACTGCAGATGCTGGAATCTGAACTGAAAACAAAAAGTGCTAGAGATCATAGCGGTTCAAGTAGCATCCATGAAGACAAAGCAAGCTAACGCTTCGAATCTAGATTACTCCTCATCAGAGCGTAAGCAGTATGGAGGGGGGCAGCATTTATTCTATGTTGGGAGGGGTGGGTGTTGGTGTGCTGTGGGAGAAAGGATGTTGATAAATTACGTGATCGGAATGTGAGAAGGGCAGAACAATAGTGTGTCTAACTGCCAGACTGAAAAGAACAGATGGTTCCAGTGGGGTGGGAGAAGGGGAGAGCGGGTGACAGAGAATTTAATAAGCAAAGATAGAAGAAAGGGAAGGAATGGTTTCACAATTTGATGGTGTTGAACTCAATATTGGGCCCAGAAGGTTGTAAAATGCTTAGTTTGAAGATGAGATGTTGTTCCTCCAGTTTGTGCTGTGATTCACTGCAGCATGCTGAGGACAGGCAAGTGGACATGCGAGCAAGATGCTGTGTTAAAATGACCGGCTACAGGAAGGTTGGGATCATATTTGTGCACGGACCATGCTGTGTTAAAATGACCAGCGACAGGAAGGTTAGGGTCATGCTTGTCGTTCTTCCATAACCATGGTTTCCCGCCCACTGTGGTTGAAAGGGCCCTCAGCCACATCCAACTTATCACCTCTGCTTCCACCCTTGCCCCTTCCCATCACTCACAACAGTGTGATCAGTTTCCCCCTGTCCTCACTTTTCATCCCACCAGCCTCTGCATTCAAAAGATCATTCTCTGCCGTTTCAGAAATTCCAACAGAACGCCACCACCGAACACATCTTCCCCTCACTCCCCTATCTCCATTTTGCAGGGATCATTCCATCTGGGACACCTTAGTCCAGTCCTCAACCACCAACACCACTCCCCTCTTCCCATGTAACCACAGGAGATGCAACACCTGCCCCTTCATCTCTTCCCTGCTCACAATCCAAGGGCCTAAACAGTCTTTCCAGATGAAGCAGCATTTCACTTGTACCTTTTCCAATCTTGTGCATTGTATTCACTGCACCCAATGTGACCTACTCTACATTGGAGAAGCTAAATGCAGACTGGGGACCGCTGTGCAGAACACCTCTGATCCATGCGCAAGCCTGACTCTGACCTTCCCGTTTCCGGTCATTTTAACATAGCATCTTGCTCACATGCCCACTTTTCTGTCCTTGGCATGCTGTAAGGCTGCAGTGAATCACAGCACAAACTGGAGGAACAACAATTCATCTTCACACTAGGCAGTTTACAACCTTCTGGGCTCAATATTGAATTCAACACCTTCAAATTGTGAACCCATTCCTTCCCTTTCTTTTTGCTTTGTTTGTTACATTCTTTGTCACTTATTCTCCCCTTCCCCTACCCCAGTGGGACTGTCTGTTCTTTCCAGTCTGGCAGATAGACACACCATTGCTCTCCCTACTCACATTCCAATCACTAAATCTGCACTATTAACATCATTTCTCCTCCAGCACTCCAAACCCGCTTTGCGAACTACTGCATAAATGCTGCCCCTTCCACACTTCACTTCAGCCATGATGAAGAGTTATCTGGACTCGATATGTTAGCCTGCCCTTCCTTCGTGGATGCTGCCTGACCCACTGTGATCTCCAGCAATTTTTGTTTTTAGCACTGCATCTTGTTTTACCAACTGTGTGCCTGACACAACCAAGTACCTACAGAGCAAATGAATGCATCAAGATTTCCAGAAAGACCACAGGAAAGTCTATCAACAGATGTGTTTTTGTCTAGAGGGAAGATGCATTTAGTCCGAGTCAGCTATTATTCAACGTGGATTGAAGTGGCAAGACTTCATCTTTAGTCATTAACTTACAGTAGACTCAATGTTCAGAGAACTGTAAAGGATTTTTGTCATACATGTTTTATTGGAAGAATTAGTATCAGACTGCAACTCATACATGAGGATTTCAGGGGATTTACTTCGGAAGCAGGAGTCAAGTAGGTGACATGTTCTTCATTCGATCCGCAGTTGAATGGAGAGGCAAAAAGAGCAGCCAAGACTGTGAAGTCTGTGACACCTCAGAATCCAGATTGGGAATTAGCTTGACTCAGTTACAGAGCAACAGCACTGAATAATGGAGACTTGCCCATGGAACGATAAGTGGGGAAGAGGTTTAAAATTGATGTACCAGGTTTAGACTATGACCTAAGGCCAAACATAATCTCTCAAGACCACATGAAGATAAATCAAGTAGAGAAAAACTATAACAAAATGTAGCACAGACAGTATGACTCTAGGCACAAGGTAAAAACTGTAAACTTTAAAGCTAGAATACAATGTCTGGTTAAGGGAAAGGAAGTCAGAAACCGTGGTCATCAGAGAAACAAATGCACTGAGATCTTACACTATCAGAACACCTGAAGGGACATTCAATAGGAACAGGACAGGATTGATCTCACTCAGGCTAAGGAGTGTGACTGAGTATGATTGTCACAGGATGTAGGCCAACCACACCTATACTACATCAGACAGAGTAGCACAACTATTCCGGACATGGTGTAACACCATCACCCTAGTGATGAACTCACACGAACCAGAACTGGATCTCCAGTTGCCTCAGCCTGTGAGGTTTGAACTTTGGAAGTTGGAAATGGTGGGGTTGGTGAGATGATAATAATGGTGATAACTGTGATAATGGTAATAATAATGTTGATAATGATTATCCTGATTAATTTTACTCACTTATATAATTTTTGTAAACTACTGGAATCAGGTAGACCAACTAGAGAGAAGCATGGGGGGAGGGATATGGGATAATGAGATTAATATAAATCAGGATAATGTAACTGATCACATGACTCTGACATCATTAAGAAAGATGACAAGAGTCTAGAATAAGCACGTGATGAGGGAGGTTTTAAACACTGCACTTCTGGGCTGTACTTGATAATCTATTACCTAGAAATGTAAATAAAGGAATGTTACAGCACAGAAGCAGTTGAAAGGCCTTATTAGAGATTAGGAAGAAACAGTCTCTCAGACTGTACATGCAGGTACCCATACCCGAGATAGTTTAAACCACAAAATAAAAGCAGATTCCTCATCCTTGCCAATTCCAACCTCTGAGTCGCCTTATATTTTGACATAATCTGGAGGTGTAGTGGACAGAGAAGAGGGATACTTCAGAGTACAACAGGATCTTGATCAGATGGGCCAATGGGTCAAGGAGTGGCAGGTGGAGTTTAATTTAGATAAACGTGAGGTGCTGCATTTTGGAAAGGCAAATCAGGGCAGAACTTATACACTCAATGGTAAGTCCTGGGGTGTGCTGCTGAACAGAGCCCATGGAATGCAAATTCATATTTCTTTGAAAGTGGAGTCCCAGATAGACAGGATAATGAAGAAAATGTTTGGTATGCTTGCCTTTATTGATCAGTGCATTGAGTATAGGAGTTAGGAGATCATGTTGCAGTTGTACAGGATATTGGTTGGGCCACTTTTGGAATACTGTGTACAATTCTGGTCTCCCTGCCATTGGAAGGATGTTGTGAAACTTGAAAGGGTTCAGGAAATATTTACAAGGATATTGCCAGGGTTGAGCATTTGAGCTATGGGGAGAGGCTAAATAGTCTGGGGTTATGTTCCCTGGACTGTCGCAGGCTGAGGAGTGACATTATACAGGTATATGAAATCTTGAGGAGCATGGAAGGACGAATAGCCAAGGTCTTTTCCCTGGGATAGGGGAGTCCAAAACTCGAGGGCATAGGTTCAAGATTAGAGGGGAAAGATTTAAAAGGGACGTAAGGGGCAACTTTTCACGCAAAGGGTTGTGCATGTAAGGAATGAGCTGCCAGAAGAAATGTTGGAGGCTGGTACAATTACAACATTTAAAAGGCATCTGGATGGGTATGTGAATAGGAAGGCTTTAGAGGGATATGGACCAAATGCTGGCAAATGGGACTAGTTTAATTCAGGATATCTGGTTGGCATGGACAAGTTGGGCTGAACAGTCTGTTTCCACGCTGCACAGCTCTACGACTCTATAACTCAGACAGAACACAGTGCAGAGGGGAAACATCAACATACTGATGGGTCAACATTTTCAGGGGTTAGAGAGCCAAAGGGAGGTGTCAGAGTGCAGACAGAAGAGGCAGCGTGTTGAGGGGTCAGTGTGCCAAAGGGACAGTGTGCCAAGACACTCCCTCTGCTGCTAATCCACAAAAATACTCTGTGAATATCATGAAACTCCAGAATAGAATCACACAGCTGACCGCTCCCCATTCAGGTCCATCTCATTAATTTCCCCTGCGTGCGCCTGTCATTAGTGCTGAGTCTTGTCATGAGTGAGCTGCTCAGTATTCATAATCAAGTCTGACACTAGAGCCCGAGGGGGGTGTTTTTAATTAGGCTTTAACATAAGCAAGGCAGTAAGGTAGTTAAAGTGCAGATTACCATTAAATAATGCATGAAAGAACTGGGCTGGGAATAGGTGATAAATCCACTAGAGGATTTAATCAGCAATTACACACAGTGCCTGGAATCAGAACTGCTGCCCTATCCTCAATCACAGCCCAAAGTGTATTTTTTAGTCCCTGTCTCTTGGATATAGTCTCTTCTGAATTGGTACTACCCTTTGGTTTTTGTGATTGCCAGCTGCCTTCGTGGTCCAGTAGTTATTTGTCAGTGGCTAGTATGTTATTCCATTACACATCAGGTTGGTGTCACAGTCTGAGCTTGTTTGCGCCTAACACCCACAGATTTGGTGTAGAAACCCTAACCAAAAATCAAGGGTGGGAATGGTAAGCAATGCCCTCTCCCTCTAGCCCAGGATACCTTCAAAACCAACACAAGAATGTGCACTTATGTAGCATCTTGTCTCTCAAAAGCATTTCTGCAATGAGTCATACTGCGCACTCATTATGTGGATCAGCTGTAACAGTATTAACACTTGGCAGCAACTTGCTTAAGAAATGATGGCATGTTAATGATGCCTACATTGTCAATGTGCAAATTGACCAGTAACCTCAAGGAAGAAGAGATACCCTAGGAACTGCAAATCTTCAGAACTCACAGATAGACCTTACTTCCCTTGCATCTGAAACAGCATCTCAACCCTTATCCATGACCATTAAGAACATTCACTGGTGTGGGACTGGATTCACATAGAAAGGTATATATGGGTAAGATTGGAACAGGGGCCTGGGGGGTTTCCTCAAGGACATTAGTTCATCAGTTAAGGTTTTCTGACATGAAACGTGATATCTGATTATTTTCAGATTTTTTCATTTTCACCTGCAATGTAAATTTTCAGACCGTCAGAATGGAATTTGAACTTGTTTTCCTTGGAATATTAATCCAGCCCTCTGGATTAGTTCAAGATCATGGCCATACTTAGAACTTAATGAAACATCCTCCATTCCTCACTTGGCAATTACAATGAGATGCCCAATTTGCAAATCTGGAGCTCTCTGAGTGGGAATGGTAGGTGTAGGTCTGTGTCCTGTTACTATGTTCCTCAGAATTGTCCTCGCGCTCACTCCTTGTCATTTTGAGTTCGTGAGTACCATCATATGACTGTGTGGCTCAGCATTTGACTGTTAATTGCACCTGATCCAAGTGATACTGGCAACAACACACAAACAGACAGAATGGCAGGCCCACTGACACACAAACAGGCAGGATGACAGCCCCACTGACAGACAA